ACCAGTTTCGGCCCTATTGGCCTCCATCCAACATGGTGCTGCGTTCGGAATTTCACGATTCTTGATTTTTTTCACTTTGGACTTTGGACACGCTGTATACAGCCGCAATATGCATTTTTAGTAACGTTTTTGTTTGATTCTGCTTGTTAGTTGCGGGTGATCTAAACGACTTCTAAGAGTCAAACACCGAGCTTTTTCAATCTCCGTTACCATCAAGTTTCGAACTCATTCGGGAATGTTTTTGGCAGTTCCCGAACTTTTAACTATCTTCAAGCAAATTTCTACTTAATTACGAAAATTGCTTCACATTAAATCAAAACACTGTTGACCTGCGATGTTGGCTGTGAGCGTTGAAAAATTACATTTTTTTCTCAATCCATTAACTTAAGCACTGAATGTGTTCTTGCGAAACCATGTAACAAATGTATCGATGTCGACACTATAATAAGCCGTTCATGTTGTGGGATCAAGCTGAGATCGATATTTTCAAATTTTGCTTCATAACGTGCGAGGAAAGCGTTATTTTTTATATTGTTTTAGTGAACATGTTATGTATGACTTACGGGTGTGGCCAAAGAACGTTTGCCCTCAGCAATGTATGAGTGGAACCAGGCAGAGACGTAGTAGATGCGTGTGTTGGAAGGAGCAAGAAACTGTGGCTTGTCTGTGTTCTACACGCGTCTAGACAATGTGCTTTGTTCCGCTCATGCATTGCTGGTGAAGCTTCATTTACCAGGCCTATGTACAACAAGTGCAATACAACTTATTTTGTTAGGTTTTTTATTTGTCGAAATGGTGAATATTTAAAATAAATTTTGTTCTTCCAGTAGGACTATGATGGCTTTTAATAACAACCCAGTGATAAAATACGTTTCTATTACAAACAGTGTATATACAGTGGCGCCCTTTTGTCAATCAGTTTAGTGCCTGCACATTTGTACTTAACCCAATCTAGTTCAGCTTCGCTTCACCCGTTTAGATCGCGTCAGCTCGCCATCAAAGCCTTGGGGCAACGCCCCAAACAAATCCTCCCCAGACATATCCATGAGTGTTAATGGCTCTTTATCACCAGCCGTTCGTTTAGCGCGCATGCTTCTTTGCCGGATGGAAACCAGATGATCCAGAACTGCGCCGCCTCCATGGACAGCCACCAAATCCAGGAAATTGCTCCTCTTTTTCCGCCCATCTACTTCGGCAATTCGGTAGACTTCCGGGTCCAGATCCAGAGTGTACCCGCCATCCGTCAAAGCTTTGGAAAGTTGACTCTTCCGATTGGTTTCACTGCTCCTGGCAAATCGCTCTTGATTGCGCATCAGGAGCGGAGCTCCATCGACGTAGATCAGGTGGCTTTCATCAGCTGAAGCGGAGACTTTGCCGCATTTGCAGTCTTTTCCTGCACATTTGCAAGCCTTTTTCTCTCTGATGGTTTGCTCGTCTTCGACATCAGCAACTTCTTCATCTGCTCGGTATTGTTCTGGAAACTCTTTTAAGCGGCGAAGAGAGAAGGGATGCGTGGTGGCCACAACTAGCGGGTCGGCTGTTGGTACTGTTTTTTTTGGGTCAGCTAGTGGGTAAATCTAATCAAAATCTTACCAGGTTGTTGATGCTGGTAAGTATTTGCTGCAGGAATTGAACCATCTAGGCCCCGCCTTATTCTGATATGAGGAGAGGGATTACTGTCTCCAATCAGCACCGGGTCCAAGTCGCTGGTTTCCTCCTCCATCAGATTGCTGATGATGTTTCGCTTTTTCCTACAAAACCCCATTGGATGAAACCTGGGCGTTTTTCGGCCCCACCTGCAAACCTCTGCGGCTTCCCATCTTCCTCCTCATTCGCTTCTTCTTCCTCCTCCTCTTCGAGATTCGGGTTGCCGTTGGCTTTGATTTGCTCTATTTCATTGCGCACTTCCTCCTTTATCCGGTTCAGGCGCTCCTGGATCTGTTGCTCCATTTGCTTGCCCATATCTTCAGATCTCTTCTCCCGCTGCTCCTGATCCAGCTGCTTGGCCTGTTCGGGGTGTTTGCTCAGGTATTCGTCAATATATTCGTCCTCGTTGATGGATTTTGGTTCGGGAATCTCGATCATTGCGTAGTGTTTTGTTACGGACTTTTCCTTTGGTTTTCCTCGCTTGGATCGGGGGCTTTTGCGGTCGATCTACAGTAGGAGGTGATTTTGATGCCCAGTGGGGGAGTTTGGATTGCTTGCCTTGAGCAGGGTGATTTTGTTGCTTCCGTGCTCCAGATCTTCATCTTCGACTTCGCGTTTAGCGGCTTGCGGATCGTCGATTAGGCCCATGTCGTTTAAAATGCCCTTTAGATCTCCTGCAGCCGATTCGTCGTTGGACTGCAATCTTAAAAGGGCCGATCTACAATGGGACTGTCGGAAGAAGCAAGCGGGGCCGACGGCAGCCTACCTTAAGTAGTCTGAGTGTTTTTCGCTGAGTAAATTGCTGGGTTTAGAAGCTCGTTTTTCCAAAGTTCGACTTTTTAGGCTGCCCTCCTTCTCCAGTCGGCTATCGACTTTGAACTTTGCGAAGATTGTCGGGTATTTTTCATCGGAAAACTCCATCAAATTCTCGTCTCCTGTGTGTCTTTTCGTGTCTTGCTTCACTTCTTCACTGCTGGTCTTATCCATAGGGCTGATATCTACCGGAATCTTGTCCTCGCTCCTCACTGGCAGCAGCTGGTAGCTGTTCTCAAAGCGCTAAAATTGCCCGAAGCGTTCCAACATTAGAAGAAACTTTGCTGTGGTTTCACCTGCAAAATTCCCACTGGTTCTTCATTCTTGTACATTATGGCGCACTGTTTCCTGTCGTCCAAAGCCCGTCCTTTGCGCTTGTGTTTCTTCGGGTGGGCCTCCCGGTTGCGTTTCAGCCCATGCCTGCTGGTGTCGTGCAGCTCCTCCAGGTCCTCAGACCTTTCATCTTCCTCAGATTCGCTTAAAACGGCATTAGCCCCGAGGTTTGCCCACACCCTCCAAACTTACCTATCAATTGCTGTCGCTTCTGGGGGCTTTTTCGTAAAGACATCGGTAAAGAAGAATGTAATAGTAAGGTGTATAACAAAGAGCTGTATGTTCATTTTATTGTGTAAACTAGAAAATGTTGCAAATGCATTCACATGTCAGTTTCGGCATGTTTCAACGTGGCAAATTTGGCAATTTGTTTGCACCTTGGTAATTGCTTCTGATACAGGAATAGTCGATGTGTAGAGCACTTTTAACTGGAAACATTTCCCGAAGGAATGGATTTAGAGGTTTGCAGCAAGGGAGCTTTTTTGCTTAAAACATGGCAGGAAACTATCCTCTGATGGCCTCTGATGGCCTCTGATGGCCTTTACCATCCTTCAAAGGCACCGTTAGATGTCTCTGCCCTACTACTAGGCCTGGGTAGCTCAATGCATTTTTAGGTGTTGGCGCAGTGCCTTGCTTGAGGCGCCAACCCAAAGCACCGGCGCAGTAGCTCAGTTCCGTTGCTGAGAAAATGAT